GGTCAAGGTGAAACTAAACTAAAAATTACCTCGCTTGAGGTGTTGCGTTCTCAGCTAGGCCCTCTCTCAGCTGCAACCCTCAGCACTCGCGAGGCCGAACTTTGCCCTCCGCATGCATTGCTGTTGAGGCACTTGTTGTGGCATCAGCCTCCGTAAGTTTGGCAATCCCCACTCAGCACTGGATGTTCTGTTCGAGGCATATTCCCTCAGCGCATGCGAGGCCGCAAAGTGAAACACGTGAGGTATGAAAGACTGCTACTCCAGGTTCGTCCGCAGCTCCGGCTTTCTCGCACTTACTAACCGTGCCTTGCAGCCTCCCCCAAAGTAGCGTCACCCTGGCTTTCTCGCTCTTACTCACCAGTTGACCAATAATGCATCTCACGCGGTTGCTTCATGGTAAAACTGCAGCTCGAGGTCCCGGCGTTCTCGCTCTTACTAACCCGGACCGACACTGCAGAGAAGCATTGACTGTTGTTCCCTCAGCGGAGGCGAGGCCGAACAACCATTCCGCTGCATCTGCGCAGCCAGGCCCTCAGCTCCTCACTGAGCCAGGGCTATCTCTAGACAGAGTTCCCTTGCCAAGCCCTCTATCTCTATGTGACCCCCGCGGTGCCACGTATAAGCAGCTGCTCCGCGTGTCTTAGGACCACAGTTTTCATTCGGATTTGTTGTTGTAGGCCTTCCAGTGCTTGAGGCCGAAACCAAACACCACATCTCACGTCACACGGCGAGGCAATTTGGCTCCAACATCTGAAGATAGTGACACATACTCTGCGTGGCGTCCGCGTGAGCTAGCCTGTCCTCGGCTCCTTTCATCGCTTGTCTTACCACAGGTCTCTTTCGGTGGCCCGTACTCAGCAGCCAGCACATGTACCATCCTCAGACGCCAGAGCCGCCTTGCCCCAGCAAGTGCCCATACAAACCACTCACCAGACAGTGAGAGCCAACATCTTCAAACAACCTCCAGCGGCCGTGCCGCGAGGACCTAAACATCTGCAAGGTTCCGCCTTGTCTGTGTGCACGGACAGACCCCAGCCCTTGCAGGAGACGTGGATGTAAACAAAAGTAGGCCTGCCATGTCCAGCAGGCTGATAACTATTGGTTGCCTTCAGATGGGAAAAGCGCGAAGTTCGGGTAACCTCCATCTGAGTCCTTTCCGGCCAATACCAGCCTTTACAAACCCTCAGCACGGAGCGAGGCCGAAGAAGGCTATCTTGGACTATTTGTCTGCCGGGGAGCAGCCAGCAACAGCTGCTCTTCAACTTGCACTGTGCCGCACCACAGTCCTACTGCAAGTTTTTTGGCAACGGTTTCTCAGTAGCACCAGTCAATGAGCTTTACGACACTGATGCCTTTGGTTATTTGTGTCCAGGCAGATCCACCAGGGTTGGGCCAAATCTGTTCTACCTGATTCTACCTGCGAAGAAAATCCAGTTGTGCTCAGCTTGCAGATCCCCGAAAACCAGCAAGCTTGGGCTCGAGCACACCGCTATTGTTCGGGACACTCCTGTCACAACTGCGAGGATGCCGCTTGCAGTGCGACGTTGGCCTGCACTGTCTGCAGCGTGCCTTGGCCGTTTTCCCCCGTGTTTCGGTCTCACCTTCGTTCTCCACACAAGTGAGCGAGGAACCCAAACTCACCTTAAGCACAGCCCTCAATCCAAATGAGGGTCGGTGGGTTTTGCTCACCCAGAGACAGCAGGAATCTCTGGTGAGCAACAGGCTAGCGTCACCCCTCAAGCAAAGCGAGGCTGCAACTCTCACTGTGACCCAGAGCAGACTGTAGGTCACAAGGTTCCCTCAGCAACGCGAGGACGAAAAGCTTCCCTCTAGCGAAGCGAGGCCGAAAACTGTGCACTCACGCCCTTCGTCGACGGCAGCAGTTGGCGGGCCGCCGCTCTATGACAGCTTAGCCGGTCAGCCGGCCTACGAGCAAACACAGTTTTGCCAGGGCCTCAAAACGGAACCTACCCTTAGTTACAAGCCCCAGGGCCAGCCACAACGGCACTAATGACGCTCTCTACCTGAGCACCCCACCGGGGTTGAGCCGAAACCTTGAGCCAGGTGAATTTTACCACTCGAAAGCGGGCTGCGTCGCTAGCCAGGTTAGGCTCTTCGGAACCGAAATTCCGGTAGGTATTAACTATGCACGGAAAATGGTCTCTCGAGGTGTCCTTGGCCTGCTTAACACGGCCGTACTATGTGCAGGGAGCACCGAGAGAAGAATAAAGGGCTTAACCAGTTCCGCGAGAAGCTCGGCGGCCTACGGCTACTCACTGGTTTGGCACTGTACAAAGCCCTAGGCAAAATGTTCTGCAGGTTGAACTGCCTGGTCTGTACTGCCTACCCTATCAGCCCTGCCAGTACAGGGGAGAAACTCACCCACTTCCGGCTCACTCAGAAAAGGCAAAAGGTCTGGAACCGATAAATGGGCAGTGCCTGTACTAAACTGAACGCAAGTGGCTTGGCAAAGTCGCCAACCTCCGGCGCAGGCCTAGGCTTTCTCGCCCTTACTAACCTAGGCCCCAGAAACTCATGCCGCAGCAGCACTGAGCTCCTGTTGGCCCCGTTTGCTGACCTGGCTTTCTCGCACTTACTCACCAGGGAGGGGAACCAGCTTTCTCGCTCTTACTAACTGGTTCAACCTCAGCGGCTCCAGAGGAACCCATACCACTTGCACGCAGGGAGGGCTTGGTTGATTTGGGCATCTCAGTTTGGCAGGCTTCAGGCACCGAGCCACAGCCTTTAACCTCCACATCTGGTGCCTCTGGCTGTCCGTCAGCCCAAGCTTTGGTCCCTAACAACAACGCCTGCCGCTAGGCTTCCTCCTGGATGGGCTTGCACCACCCGGAGAAAAACAAAAACACCCTGCAGGTACAAACAAAGGAAGCACTCGGCAGGCCAAACACGGGTAACCCCAAACTGATGCAGGGAAATGCCCTAAACCTCATACGGTCGGCGTACTAGGATCCTCGTCCGTTCCTGCCACACCTCAGCGCGCTACCCTCCCCTCATCAACCTGTGAGGATCAACAGGGACCGGTTCTAACGTTTTCCTTTCGTGCGCTGTGTTTGCGAGAACCCCGTGTTGGGCCTGTGAGTACCCACAAGCACCTGAGCCCAAAAACCCGGTCAAGCGGTCTGCTGCACAGACCGAGCAAGGGGGCCGAACCGGTGTCAGGCTGAACATAAGCCGCGTCGAGGCGGCCTGTCCTGCAGGGTGTCCCTCGGACCAGCTGCGAACATAATCCGACGGATGGATCTGGGTACGTGCCGGGACTGAGCACTCGTCTGCTTGCATGCTTACAGCCTGCATCCTTATGCAATCATTTCACGATCCTATTCCATGCAATATTCTCTTGGTGCCCTGCTGGCACTCTCAGTCTGGAAAGCGGACTCACTGGGTCCGTCACTGGTTGAAAGGGGGAAGCTGCACCCGTATACTGGATTCCGAAGGGTGAGCATCTCTCCCTTGATTCTGGCAGGGCATACGCTCCTGCAATTTGGGTGGGTTGGGGCCGTATTAGGTCAGACCTCCCAGGGGATGTCTTCCAAGTCTTCAAAGCCACACACAAGCCAATCACTGCTGCATGCTTCTTCTGGGGAGTCTAGATCCTGATAACACCCTTCCTCAAGGAAGGTCCAGCCATGTGCGCTGGCTGCAGAAGACAGCGGCGCCAGCGAAGGCTCTACGGGCTCCGTACCTTGGGTGACCTAACTGACTCAAGTCAGCAAGGGAGGCATCGTCCAGCAACACCTGTCTCCTGACTGCTTGATCAAAGCTCGGCCAGCTCCACGTGCACTCCAGGAAGTTTTCAAGACAAAGGGCACAGTGGAGCTCGATGCGTCTTCCATCCTCTCCATACAAGATCGCTGGTTGCCTTTCCCCAGGACCAGGCACGAAGTTGAGGTTATGGGTTGGAATGCTACCACAGCCAGTGCAATTAAAGTTTAAAAGGCGAAGCCACTGCACGGGCGGGTCGCCTCCCGTTCCCCCGTGGAGCTCTGCTGGGTCTTCCATGCATCTCCATTGCCCACAAGGTCCGGCTCTTACTGTTTTGCCGGATTTGCTGGTGCGAACAAAATACACGCTGCTGTCCTCTGAGAGGAGCAGCCACTCTTTCCGGCCCTTGTGAAACCAGCGAAAGCAGAGTGCTTGGTGTAAAGTCCTGCCTTGGCTGGAACCACAATTGGCTCTATGGGCCCAAGTTCGCTCTGCACTTGCCAGGTTGCTCGAGCATCTTACCTGGTCTTCCAAGGCTGGAGAAACTCCACAGCCGGCTGTAAGAGGACTCGCATAAGGGAAGAGTTCCCCAAGCCGGGCTGCTTCGCCCTCCAGTCGGGCCGTGCCTTCTATCTGGCTCTCTGCATCGCAAGTTGGGTGAGATGACTCCAACCCATCACTTGCTGGCAGTGAGGATCTCGACTGCACAGGTGCTCTGGACATGGCTCAAATGAAGGCTGTGAAAAAGCAGGCCTGGTACCCAAAGCAGTTAGGGGACTCGAGGCTGGTTCACACAGCTACCGCTCTGCTACCTGTGCACCCCTCCGGGGTTGAGCCGAGATCTTGAGCCAGGTGAATTTTACCCACGCAAGCACGAAGCGGCCGGAGGCCTTGAGTCCATTGGCTCAGTGTGAAACAGTCGGGGGAACACCTACCCTACATGCAAGTTACAAGCCACTCTCGCAGTAGCTGCAAGGAGCAGGCCTTGAGTCCAGGCTCGGAAGTGAGACAGTCGGGGGTACACCTACCCTACAGCTACAAGTTGCACCACTCACTTCAGGCTGGCACCCATGCCTGAGGCCTGGTTACACCAAGGCCTGGTACTGCACTTGGAAGACCCAAGCATGCAGACGCACGGTAGCAGGCTGTGGCAGTCGGGGTTCCACGACCCGAGCACCTGCAACTCCCACACAGCAAACAAGGCTGGGCCCACGCCTTGAATGGTCTGGAGACCCCAAGACCTGACTGACAACACCACAGGCTTGGAAGGCCCAAGCTTATTGGTTAGCCAATGCAGCAAGGTGAGCCCAATCAGAAAGTCGGCCGTCCATGAGGACCATTTGGATTTCCAAGTTTGCCTTGAGCGCAGCGGGGAGAACTGCAATGATATCGTTGAGGCAAGGGACCACCGCCTGCCTGCGGAGATACGGCTCCAACGGCGTGACGTCACAGACACATCGAAGGGTCTCGATGAAGCTGCGCAAGCTATACTTGGGAATCCAACTTCCAGCATTAAGCCCTTCGAAGTGCCAATCCGCGAGATCGAAAAAAACACAACATGGGCGTCGCAGCACTGAGTCCTGGTTTAATTCCCAGGTTGGTTTTTGACACATCACGAAGAGCAAAATGACGGCTCAATTGCAAAAGGAGGGCGAAGGCATACAAGGACCACTGAGGGTGGATCTGGTTCCGAGAACCAAAATCCGTGAGGAGCTCGACTTTTTCCACCATCGACCAAGCCACCAAATGGGACCTGAACTCCCATGGTCGCCCAGAGAGCAGCACCTGCAGTGTCGTAGATCCAGCCCCAATGATGGTGGCTGCCACCTTAGGAAGCAAGGCCGAAATCGCCACCTCATCTCCAAACGCCTGCTTCGTCCCAACCTTCAAGACGTAGCCACCACCAGCGTCATATCCGAATCTGGTTCTTCCATTGTGGATATACGCCGCAGTGCTGTCCCCCGTGTCATTGAACCACACGTGGATCAGGTCCTTGGGGAGGGCCTGGAAGACACCAGGATAGCCCAGATCGGATTTGAAAGCCACCAATCCTGGCTTGGTATTGCGAGCCCTCCCAGCAATAGCAAAGGCTGCGCCCGCTTCCTGATCCATATCGTCAAAGTTCAACGGGGCAGGCAGCATAGGCGCAGCTGGCGGTGCTGGAGGAGGCTCGGGATGCACAATGGGATCAGGCACCATTGGCTCCTCCTCGCTTTCTTCAGAGCAGCTGTCCTGGTCTGGGGCACCCAAAACCGGACCAGCCCCAGGTGCATGGGGATTCTCCCGAAGGACAATTCCAGGAGCTTCATCCCTCTCAGCCTGGTTTGCCACCACGGCTGGGGGGCGGTGCACAGGATTGTGCTGCTCAAGCTGAGGATTTTCCCGAAGCACGACTCCAGGATTCCTCCTCCCCTGAGCCTGGTTATCCACCAAGGGCTCAGGGGGTTGCACGTGTTGTGGCCCGGCCTCAGGGGCTTGCTCATCCTGCGGTTCCACCCTTCTCCGCCTGGGAGGCGGGGGGTTCACACCAGCAGGCGGCGCTCTCTTAGGAGCTGCACCTCTAAGCCGAGCTCTCTCTCGCTTGCCCGGCCGGGCTTTTGAGTAGGCCTTGGAGGCAGGGGATTTATGCTTCGGAGGCATACTCAGAAGGCAATCTTAGCTTGGTTGAGCCCAGACTGCTTGAGCCAGGCACTTTCACGCTTGCCTGGCCGGGCTTTGAAGTATGCCTTGGAGGCAGGAAGCTTATGGACAGGCAGCGTGCTAAAAGGCAATCTTAGCTTGCTTGAGCCCAGACTGCTTCGCTTTGGATTTTGGCTTAGGCTTGGGAACAGAAATTTTAGCTGAAGGTTCCTGACTGGAGGACGACACAAAAAAGGCCCGAACACTTTGAACCCCAGTGTCAGTCACCTCCTTTGCTTTTTTGGAGCTAGCAGTAGCAACCTTACTTTTGTTGGGCCTACAAGGCGCTACAATCCAGGTCGGGATTTTGCGGACACCAACTTTGACCATCTTGTCACACTTTGAGCAAACCCAGGACTTACCTAGATTAACCCACACATGATCAGGATGGGGATCCCAAGGAGGAGGGTCCGCCTGAACACCAAGGCAGGGGTGCTTGATCTTAAGGGAAAAGGTAGGGAGGGGCTCAGTCTGCTGGATGTATAGCTCACACCTCGAGCACCTCGCTGAAAGGTTGGAAGGGAGCCTACAACCCTCAACCCAGGTGTGCCCCAAGTTCTGTGTACCAGCAAGAAGGCCTTCAATCTGTTCCCTTTTGTTAGGACCTTTGATTTTGGGCAGCTTAGAATTTTTCCGGACAGCCGAATCCCTAACCCTGGGCTTTTGGCGGAGCTTTCGTTGCTCTTTGTCAGGCCACTGAACCAGCGGTCCTTGGTCCTTGTCATACGAAAGGAGAGCTGCAGCTCTCTTGGCCAACAAGGAGTTAACCTGAATGGCAACAGCATCACGCTTTTTAATTTGGGATTCAAAGTTCAGGTCCCTACGAGCTTCGGCAGCCGTGCCAACAAGCTGGTCCACAATTTCGTTAGCACGTCGCCTCCAAAGCTGGTTAGCACCAAACTTTGCTCGGAATTGTTCTTCCGTTAAATGCGAGGATACCCAGTTAAGGCTGAGTCTCTGTGCATGCAGTCGGATGGGGTCGAAGAGATCGGCAGACTGGATGGAAGGTGTACCATTCACTCTGGGCAGGATGCCCTTGCAATCCAAGGTGAGGTCTGCGTTCCCTTCACTATGCTCAGCAACAAACTTGACAGCCGCTGCCTCCGCCCGGAACACCGATAGCGGAGATTTCAGTGAGCCGACAGCTGTCGCGATCGTGACGGGCTCATCCCCTTCAAGCTTAAAGGCAATCGCAGCCCAGGTATACCGATGGAACCTGGGGTCCTTGGATTTCCCCGGGGAGCCATCAGTAGCAAAGTATATCGCCTCGCCACAAATGACCTGGCCATCACACCAGGCACCAGTAGTTCGTACCCATTCCCCATCATCAGGGTAAGGCGGAGTCGGCAGAAGGCCTCTGGCCCACAGTGACGAAATGGGCCACTCTTGCCGAAATCTAGGAAAGGAAGCCGGTTCCGGGAGGTTGGTTCGCCACCAGTCACACTCCCATAAGACATGTTACATGGTAGCAGCACAGCCGCACCTCAGGCAAGTGGCACAAGGATCAGCACGAATCGCTCCTTGCCAAACAGCCATGAGTCCTGACCTCTCCTGGCCTGGCATCTTATTCCGAAGCTTTCTGAGGGGAACCCAATCAATTCCCACACTCAGAGGTTCAAGCATGTCGTGCTGGGCTATACGTGCGAGCCGCCACCTATCAGTTTCCTTAGATAGGGAGCAAAGGAGGTGGTGCATGCCTACTTTGGTGGTGATGCTGTGCGATTGTTCAGGGCATTTCCAAGTGTCCGCACTGACCGGGGTCCAACCCAAGTCAAGCAGGTAACATAGGAGGGCCCCAACCGGCCCTGCAGCGCGCTTCCAGGGGTACTCCGCCTGTGAGTCTTCAAGCCACATACCCGGCAAGACATCATCAAAGTGCTGCCTTTGGCTATCGGGAATGAAGCCCAGAAGCCTGTGAATGGCCTTGAAGTGCTGGGAAATTATAGTAAAGGCCGGGTCCGGCCGCTTAGGGCACGCATGGTCAATGGTGAGGTCAACAGAGCCCAAAGACATTCGCCCCAACTCATGTGCGAAGGAAGCACGCAACCAATGCATACGCTTTGGCGCAAGCCCAACTGCCTCATGGCCATAAAGGCCCACCGTTTGGACCCCCGCCCTCAGGGCTCTGACCCTAGCTGGCATCGATTTCACACGCAGGGTCGAGAGCCTAGCCTTGCGCTTAACGCCCTTCCCAAACCTTTTATGGTGGAACGGAATGCGCCTTCTACGCCCAGCCGTACAATCAATCCCCAGGTCCTTCGCGGCATTCTTGATTTGATCAGATTCAGGAAGATACTCTTTAAGGGCAGCTTCAACTTTTTGAGACGAGCATACAAAAGCTGTCTTGCCAAGGCTGACTGGGAGGCCAGCAGTTGTCAAACCTCCTACCACAGCCTTATACAATTGCACCGCCCGGCGCGCTGCTGTGTGGGGGTTACCAGCCTCAGTGTCAAAGCTAGTATCGTCAATGTAGAGATCAATGGTTTTGGCAAGGCCAGAAACCCATGCCGGGCGCAGGATCTCGTCAAAAGGGATCTTACTGAGACCAGGCGCAAATGGGCAGCCCGCAACTAAGCCCTTGGTGGGCTTGATCGGACCAGAGACACAGTGTTCAGCACTGATCAAGCGCTGAGCAGAGTATAGCGACATTGCTGCATTCAGGATCAACGGCGGAACTTTGAGGGAAATTGCCTGCTTGACAAAATTATCATGTCGGACATTTTCATAAAAGGCCTTTAAATCTAAAAGCACTGTCACTGAATGTCGCTTTTTCCGGTGGAGGATTTCATGCGACAGCTTGCGGCGCAACGCAACATCAAGACTTGAAAGGCCCTTCTTTGCCCTGTCCCAATCCTGGGTGGCAGCATATTCCCGGAGCCATTTCTCAAAGACAGGCCAACGTATCTTTGCCCACAGTCGGTATGGGACTGGCGTCAGTCCAATTGGGCGCTCCTCATCCTCAGACTTGTTAATGAGTGCAACCAGAACAACCGAGAGCTGGGTCGGGAAAGCACCCTGACCCTCCCAGGTATTAAAGAATTGTGCCAATCTTTCAAGCTGCAAGGGGGCAAGACATTTAAGCATCTGGACACTCCACCCGTCTGCACCAATAGCTTTAGTCGGCATTCGTTTGATCACCTTCGCCACCATTGGACCTGTTATGGGAGGAAGGGTTTTGGCTTGGCTTACAGAAGCATCCCTGAGGCTATCAAAATCAAGATTGGGATTGACGTCATTGCCAGGCATGGGCTGCCACACATCAGCCCAGTGAGCCCGCCTGATGTGCGGGCGAATTTCGAGTGGTATGTTTCTGTATGGCCTGTCCGGGATGGAGTCTTCAGACTTCAAAGCCTCGTACAGGCCTCGCATACCCCCTTTGCAAGCTTCTTCCAACCATTGCGAGTATGCTTCATCACTCTTGCGCACCGCCTCTTTCAAGGCTGATCGCCCCTGCTGTGCGATAATCTCAAGTGCAAGGTGATGGCTTTGCAAGTCAGGAGCAACTAGGAGGTCCTGCAAGGCCTGAGCAGTACAAGAGGCCATTTCAGACCAGAATTCAGGTATGCGATTCTTCGCCTCAACGAAAAGGGGGATAATTCTAGGGTCAGGATTAGTGCCCAGGGCTTTAGAGGTCCAGGTGAGGAAGGATTGCCAAAAGGCCGGGCTCGACCCTTTCCAGAGTTTTTCAGGGCTGGTGGTTTTCACGAGTGGCGAGAAAGAGACCGCCAGCTTCCACCCTCTACCTGCCTGCACAGAGAAGAGTTGTTCTTCCACCCCAGCAGTGAATGAAGCCCATTCATAGTCAATCGGTCGGGAACAATCCCAAAAGCCACCAGGTTGGACTTCCGGCATGGACAATTCGTCCGGGCAGAGGGCAGTGGGTTCCAGCGGGAAGCCCTTTAGCTGACGAACAGGCAGATCTGCAACCCCTACCCTGAGCTCCACCGTCACAGCACAATGCGGTTTGAATGGGACATCCCAAGAGGACGAGACGGAGAGCACTGGGGCCATCCTCTTGGAGGCAACAGCATAATCCAAGGTGCCTCCAGTGTTAATGGTAGGACCACCAGGGGCGACCACCTGGCCCTTCACTTTATCAACAAACCCTAGGCGGAGCAATTCGGCCGGGGAACAATTCCAGTCACCAAGCACCAGCCACTGGGTGCTGGTTTGGTCAAGGACCGCCGCCAGACGAGAAAGGATCTCCGGGTTGAGTCCACCAGTCGGGCCCACTCCTGACTGGAGATACAAGTTAACTAACAAGAGATCCCAGCCCTGAAATCGAATCGAAACAGAAACAAACCCCTTGCCTGCAGACATAAAGGCCGGGCCTGTGGCAGCATTGCGATGCGAGGGTGCAAGAGTGAGAAGTCCTCCTGAGCTACCTCCCTGGGTCAGTGCGGCCGGCCCTACCCATGTTTGTTTGCCAACAGATTGGAATTTATTGACAAGGGCTTTAGTACCTGATTCAGGGACATGGGTTTCTTGCAAAAGCCAGATGGATTCATCACGGTCCAGCAACCAAGTACGAACTTCGCTTCGGTACGAAGTTATGTTGGCGTGACCTATGAGGAGGGACTTGGGACCAGTATTCTGTTTGCGGAAACCAGCCAGAACAGCCTCAATCGCCTCGATCACTCCAAGGGTGTCATCGTTAGACCGCTCCAGAAGTTGACATATCCTATTCAAGGTCCAGCACTCCAAAGACCCTTGATCGTACTGCTCTCCAAAGTCCTCAATCCATTGGAGCAGTTCAGCCTCCTTAGCCGGCATATCCATCACTGGTTGAGCCTCAAGAATATCAAGGAGACCAATCCATTCCTTGATTTTCTTCTGACGGGTCAACCGGGGATGAGATTTCGGGGTACCAGTCTTCGGGCATCTCGACCTGACCGAAGGCTCCACAGTGTCCAGCGAGGACACAACAGTATCTCCATCATCAAACAGGGATTGGGAAAAGAACATAGGGCCCGTGGTCTTGAAGGGCACAGCCCTGCTTGCAGGAGACCATTTAGCAGTCCGGAGGGGTAACACCCAAGCCGGTTCTTCAAGGATAGGTGTTTCAGGGGTGAAGGTCGGAAGTGGCAATGCATGGAAAACGGCAGCGAGTGCACTCCCAATCGTACCATCACGAAGATGGCCTGTTACAAAAGGAGGGCCACCAGGGACCCTAAGTAGGTCAGATGCACACTCGTCCTGGGCAAGGAAGGTACAAACTGCCTCACACCAGTTTAAAAGATCGTGAGAAGACTTCAAGTCAACGGAAAGCAAATCCTCGCTCACTTGCAGCACCCACTTGTCAAGCAGCAGCTGACCTTGCGAAATCAAAACTGAGCACCAGTTGGCTTGGGAAGCAAGAAACGAACAAAGGGAAAAGGAGCCACCCAAAAGCCCAGGCGCGGTCGGAGAGTCAAGTTGCGCAGGTGTATGGCCATAACATCGAGGTGGCGGGCCTGCAGCAATCCCAGCCTCCTCGGTTCGGCCCTTTTCCTACTTTCCAGATTCTCCATCCTTTCCTTCCCTCTCCTTGGGGGAACGGCTTCTCTCGTGCTGTTGATGGGGATTTTCAGTGGGGCCAAACTTTTTTGGGGAGGCCAGCGGCTTGGTTGGAACCCCAGCGCCCAGCATGTCTCCTCGCCCAAGGCCTGGCGGAGATTCCATAGCCTCGGCTTTGCGGCGCTTGGATGCATGCTCGGCTTGAATGGCTTTCCAAGTAGCCTGCTGCTCCTGGGTCAGCTGGACACCAAGCTGACCCAACACAGCTTCCACATCCATAGTATCGGCTTCGTCGTCGGTCTTGAGGACTTTCTCGTGGTAGTCTCCCCCAACTTTTTCAACTTTCTGCTCAGCTTCCTTGATTTCCGCCTGCAAGTTTTGCATCTGCGAAAGCAATGCCGTGAATGCAGCCTTTGCATTGTCAATGCGTTGCTGCAAAAGCAGCTTCCTGTTGCCCAATTCCCTCAGCTTTCCCACTGCAGTCTTGAAAGCATCTTGGGTAGCAAGGGCAACTTCAAAAGGCTCAGGGTCCCTCTTGTCAAGCTCTGCCTTGATCTGGTCCGGCAAAGCATCCTTGTGCTGCTGCAACAGCTTGATCAGCGGATCTTCTTGTTCAGCGGGCTGCGATGGGGCCAACCCATTCTTTCGGAGCACACTCTGTACTGCATCAGGCAAGGAGTCCCAATGCTCACCAAGGACCTGGGCACCCTTAAAACCCTTGTGGGGCTGGGTTTTCCCAGGCTTGGTTGGCTTTGCAAAAACAGCCCGACTGGGGGACCATTGGGGCTGCCCAGGAGACGAGTCCTGGCTGTAGCTCACTTGCTGCAAGGGCCATGGCTGCCCACATCTGCAAAACGGGCGGTGCTTGATTTTGTGGTTGTAAATCCAGGAGTCATTGCAGAACTGACAGACAGTGTAACTTCGAGAGCGTGGCATGACTGCAATTGACTCAAGAACAACACCACACCACGATTCACTGGGTTAGGCTGGGAGTACCAAGCCTCACCACAAGTGTGTGGATTTGCCGAATCCCCTCTGCTGCTCAGATGCTATGGCTCGAGAGGCTTAACCTGGGATTTGAGGAGAGGCCTGTTACCCCACAGAGTTCAGGACAAAAGCCTCAGTTTCACAGAAAGCTCCCTACCACAACACAGGCAAAACGCCTTGAGCAGTAAAACTTGAGCCAGGTGAATTTTACGTCTGCACGCTGCGAGGCGTAGCCACCCGAAGGGGCTGTGGGTTCAAGTGAAACAAAACTTACTAAAACTGTGGGGTGAAACTGCCGGTAAGTTCCCCCTCTCATTCCTTGTCCTCGGTTTTGACGTACCGCTACCCTCAACCGAAGTGAGGCCGGAATGTCCTTTTGACCAAGTCGTTGCCATTGGCTTGAAGACTTTGGCCAAGGCAAATTGCCTGTATGCTTGCACATTCTCTGTGTTGTCTATTCGGGAGGCGATCCATGCCCTCGTTCGTGGAGGCCGCTATCCCTCACCGAATGGAGGTCATTCCTTTAGACCCAGATGCTCGTTCTACGAGCCTCATTGCATGTCCTGAGTGCTTCCATCCACCCCTCAACCGTAGTGAGGCCGGACATGTCTTCAAACCAGGTCATGGCCCAAGGCTTCATGGACTCTGGTTACGGTGGCTGCCTCTTGCATGCACAGGGCATACTTCCTGTGGCTTTTGCCGGGAGGTGATCCATGCCCTCCGATTCTCAGAGGCCGCTATCCCTCTACCGGCGGGGTGGTCAATCCCCATACATAGACCGTTCCATATTGATTGAGGCCATTCTGCACTTTCTCGTCATCTCACCTTGACGGATCCATGCCCTCGATTCACACATCTCCAACACGAGCCAAGCAGGAGGAACAGGTGAAGTACCTGCCCAAACATACCCCTTTTTAGGCTGGAGGACGCTAAGCGACCGAAATCGCCGCTACGCACCGGTGACCCCACGCCACACACCTTCAACAGGTGGCCGGTACAGGCGCCTGACAGGGGGCCGGGCAAGGTGCCGACAACCAGGTCAAACCCACCCTGCCTGTGAGGATATTATGTACGAGGCCGCTATCCATTGTGAGACTTGACATTCTCATCCAGCCGTAGCCATTGTTCCAAAGACAGTCGGCTGGCACTCTTGTTTGCCACCAAAACTCCATACTCTCACTTGGGAGTCGGTTTCCCTCAACCGAAGTGAGGCCCACTCTGCGACCACGGTTTAGCGACATGCTTGGTCCTTGTGGGCATTTCTGAAAGCAGTGACAACGAATCCTCCACGGAGTACGTCCCGGCTAATCCAGGGTTCTCAGCAGCTCCGGTGTTCTCGCACTTACTAACCGTGCCTTGCTGTTCTCCCCAGAATCGCCCTGGCTTTCTCGCACTTACTTACCAGTCGACGTATTCCTCACCACAAAGTTCACTGCCATTGGGACTCGAGGCTTTTCCAGTGCAATGCTGGTTCCTGCCCTTTGCTGGCCTCCATGCCTGGCCAGTGTCCCTCATCCATATTCTGGAGTTTGCTCTTTATAGCTCACATTCCCTCAGACCAAGTCGAGGCCGAATGTTGCTTTGTTTGATTGAGCTCTGCTGGGCTGCGGTTGTACCTATCAATTGCTCCGACACACCGGCACCGCGGAGTCTATGCTTCAAGCTGCTTTACCGCTTTGCGCCCAGTAGCATCAGCCGTCCAAGCTGCATGCAGTGCTTCCAGAGTCTCCAATTACCTCGCTTGAGGTGTTGCGTTCTCAGCTAGGCCCTCTCTCAGCTGCAACCCTCAGCACTCGCGAGGCCGAACTTTGCCCTCCGCATGCATTGCTGTTGAGGCACTTGTTGTGGCATCAGCCTCCATAAGTTTGGCAATCCCCACTCAGCACTGGATGTTCTGTTCGAGGCATATTCCCTCAACGCATGCGAGGCCGCAAAGTGAAACACGTGAGGTATGAAAGAATGCTACTCCAGGTTCGTCCGCAGCTCCGGCTTTCTCGCACTTACTAACCGTGCCTTGCAGCCTCCCCCAAAGTAGCGTCACCCTGGCTTTCTCGCTCTTACTCACCAGTTGACCAATAATGCATCTCACGCGGTTGCTACATGGTAAAACTGCAGCTCGAGGTCCCGGTGTTCTCGCTCTTACTAACCCGGACCGACACTGCAGAGAAGCATTACTGTTGTTCCCTCATCAGAGGCGAGGCCGAACAACCATTCCGCTGCATCAGCGCAGCCAGGCCCTCAGCTCCTCACTGAGCCAGGGCTATCTCTAGACAGAGTTCCCTTGCTGGCAAGCCCTCTATCTCTATGTGACCCCCGCGGTGCCACGTATAAGCAGCTGCTCCGCGTGTCTTAGGACCACAGTTTTCATTCGGATTTGTTATTGTAGGCCTTCCAGTGCTTGAGGCCGAATCCAAACACCACATCTCACGTCACACGGCTAGGCAATTTGGCTCCAACATCTGAAGATAGTGACACATACTCTGCGTGGCGTCCGCGTGAGCTAGCCTGTCCTATTGTTTAGGAGTTCGGCTCCTTTCATCGCTTGTCTTACCACAGGTCTCTTTCGGTGGCCCGTACTCAGCAGCCAGCACATGTACCATCCTCAGACGCCAGAGCCGCCTTGCCCCAGCAAGTGCCCATACAAACCACTCACCAATAGTGAGAGCCAACATCTTCAAACAACCTCCAGCGGCCGTGCCGCGAGGACCTAAACATCTGCAAGGTTCCGCCTTGTCTGTGTGCACGGACAGACCCCAGCCCTTGCAGGAGACGTGGATGTAAACAAAAGCAGGCCTGCCATGTCCAGCAGGCTGATTACCATTGGTTGCCTTCATATGGGAAAAGCGCGAAGATCGGGTAACCTCCATCTGAATCCTTTCCGGCCAATACCAACCCTTACAAACCCTCAGCACGGAGCGAGGCCGAAGGAGGCATTCTTGGACTATTGGTTTTCCGGGGAGCAGCCACCACAGCTGCTCTTCAACTTGCACTGCGCCGCACCACAGTCCTACTGCAAGTTCTTTGGCAACGGTTTCTCAGTAGCACCAGTCAATGAGCTTTACGACACTGATGCCTCTGGTTATTTGTGTCCAGGCAGATCCACCAGGGTTGGGCCAAATCTTTTCTACCTGATTCTACCTGCGAAGAAAATCCTGTTGTGCTCAGCTTGCAGATCCCCGAAAACCTGCAAGCTTGGGCTCGAGCACACCGCAATTGTTCGGGACACTCCTGTCGCCACTGCAAGGATGCCGCTTGCAGTGTGACGTTGGCCTGCACTGTCTGCAGCGTGCCTGGCCGTTTTCCCCCGTGTTTCGGTCTCACCTTCGTTTTCCACACAAGTGAGCGAGGAACCCAAACTCACCTTCAGAACAGCCCTCAATCCAAATGAGGGTCGGTGGGTTTTGCTCACCCAGAGACAGCAGGAATCTCTGGTGAGCAACAGGCTTGCGTCACCCCTCAAGCAATGCGAGGCTGCAACTCTCACTGTGACCCAGAGCAGACTGTAGGCCACAAGGTTCCCTCAGCAACGCGAGGACGAAAAGCTTCCCTCTAGCGAAGCGAGGTCGAAAACTGTGCACTCACGCCCTTCGTCGACGGCAGCAGTTGGCGGGCCGCCGCTCTATGACAGCTTAGCCGGTCAGCCGGCCTACGAGCAAACACAGTTTTGCCAGGGCCTCAAACCGGAACCTACCCTTAGTTACAAGCCCCAGGGCCAGCCACAACGGCACTAAAGACGCTCTCTACCTGAGCACCCCACCGGGGTTGAGCCGAAACCTTGAGCCAGGTGAATTTTACGTCTGCACGCTGCGAGGCGTAGCCACCCGAAGGGGCTGTGGGTTCAAGTGAAACAAAAGCTTACTAAAACTGTGGGGTGAAACTGCCGGCAAGTTCCCCCTCTCATTCCTTGTCCTCGGTTTTGACGTACCGCTACCCTCAACCGAAGTGAGGCCGGAATGTCGTTTTGACCAAGTCGTTGCCATTGGCTTGAAGACTTTGGCCAAGTCAAATTGCCTGTATGCTTGCACATTCTCTGTGTTGTCTATTCGGGAGGTGATCCATGCCCTCGTTCGTGGAGGCCGCTATCCCTCAACCGAATGGAGGTCAATTCCTGTAGACCCAGATGCTCGTTCTACGGGTCTCATTGCATGTCCTGAGTGCTTCCATCCACACCCCTCAACCGTAGTGAGGCCGGACATGTCTTCAAACCAGGTCATGGCCCAAGGCTTCATGGACTCTGGTTATGGTGGCTGCCTCTTGATGCACAGGGCATACTTCCTGTGGCTTTTGCCGGGAGGTGATCCATGCCCTCCGATTCTCAGAGGCCGCTATCCCTCTACCGGCGGGGTGGTCAATCCCCATACATAGACCGTTCCGATTGAGGCCCAATTCTGCACTTTCTCGTCATCTCACCTTGACGGATCCATGCCCTCGATTCACACATCTCCAACACAAGCCAAGCAGGAGGAACAGGTGAAGTACCTGCCCAAACATACCCCTTTTTAGGCTGGAGGACGCTAAGCGACCGAAATCGCCGCTATGCACCGGTGACCCCACGCCACACACCTTCAACAGGTGGCCGGTACAGGCGCCTGACAGGGGGCCGGGCAAGGTGCCGACTACCAGGTCAAACCCACCCTGTCTGTGAGGATATTATGTACGAGGCCGCTATCCATTGTGAGACTTGACATTCTCCAATCCAGCCGTAGCCATTGTTCCAAAGACAGTCGGCTGGCTCTCTTGTTTGCCACCAAAACTCCATACTCTCACTTCAAAGTCGATTACCCTCAACCGAAGTGAGGCCCACTCTGCAACCACGGGTTAGCTGCATGCTTGGTCCTTGTGGGCATT